AGAGAGAGAGCCAGATTTCAGCAGCAACACCATCTCCTTCATAGTTACAGATTACAGTCGCTTGCTGCACTGGCTGACCGCCTGAGGACAGTGGGGCTGGAAAGTGGAAGTGGGACAGCAGCAGGGTAGGAATATCCCCAGACTCACCGACAGCAAGGACTCCCTGAGCTTGTCCACAAAGTTCTCTGGGGGCAGGATGCCCAGGGCAGGTCGGTTGATGAAGGTGCTCTGTAAAAGGCCAGCAGACAAACAGTGACTTCTCCTGATGCCACCCAGTCCCTGTTCACCTTGTGCCTCTTCAAGGACAACAGGCTCAAAAAGGCTCTCGAGGGCGCTGCGGGCTGAGGGTGTTCTGTCGGTGTTGAATGGTTCCCTTTTTTTTTTTTTTTGGCAGAACCGGGGATTGAACTCAGGCCCTTGCGCTTGCCAGGGAAGTGCTTATTCTACTGAGCCATCTCCCCGGCCTATGTTGGTGTTGAGAAGGACAGGTTTCCTTGCCTTTTAGAGCAATTCATTAGGATGCATCTGGATTTAGAGAAAGTGTCAGCTTCTTAGGTGTGATACTGTACCATCATTATGCAAAATTATGCATCCATCTAGGAAAGCTGTGAAGGGCACAAGGGACCTCTTTTGTTTTGTTTTTTGCATCTTATTGCAAAACAATGATTGAAAAAAAACCCATTGGAATGGCCAAATCATGGACACTGACAAATGTTATCTAGGACATGGGGAATCTGGATCTCTGATTCTAGAGAGTTCTTTGATGGCAAGGTGAGGTAGTCTACCCACTCAGGAAGGCAGAGCACCAGCTCCTGTAAGGCTGAATATGCACTCACCCTGATCCCCAGCAGCCCACTCCAAGGTGTTCTCACAAGTGTCACTGAGGCACATGTCCACACAGGATGTGTACAAAGCCAACATTGATGGTGGCTTTTATTCTAATTTTCCAAAAACTGAAAATTACTCAGTGTCCCTCTGATAGGGGATAGATGAACAACCTGTGGTTCATGTACAGTGGAATACTACTCAGCAATGGAAAAGAACAACCCACCAATATGCAGAAGTACATGGAAGACTCATACCATCGCAGTGCTGGGAGAAAGGAGCCAGAAGCCAATGGTGGTAGCATGCTTGGGCCCTTTTCTATGGCATTCTGTAGAACGGGTGAAAGTGTGAGGACAGAAAACAGTTCCTGGGTGCCTGGGCTAAACAAGGAATGCATGGAGCAAGAAGCTGCTCTGTCAGGAATTTTCAAAAGTGAGGAAGAAATACAGGTATGCATTGACTTTAAATTTCTGGTCCAAAATGTATTAAAACACTTTCTGGCTGGGGGCCAGTCCCACGCAGGTTGCTGTGTTCTGGACCTGCTGTCCCTAATAGCCAGGTTTGGTTGCCAGTTGGCCAGCTAACACGATGAGGCACCAGGTAGAGCCGCTGTCTCACATGTCACCATGGAGCTTGCTGCCCTGTCACCTGGCACTTTCCTTAAAGTGTATGAGGAGAAACCCAGGCCAGCAACGACCAAGCTTGGAAGGCCACCAACTGCAGGAGAAGTTTCTACTAAGTGAGTTCCTGTGTGTGTGTGTGTGTGTGTGTGTGTGTGTGTGTGTGTGTTTCACTGAGGGAAGGATTTGATGCCCAGCTTGTCTTTATTGGAAAGAGACTTCGCAGCACCTGCTGAGGGAGTCTGCGGGGGTCAGCGGGCCAGCTGGTGAGGCAGCAGCTTGTAACAGGCCCCACAGCTTGGGCACCACTGAGCCTCGCCTTTGTGCAGCCACAGCCAGATGACAGCGCTGTTGTCCTCTTCACAGATGCAGCCCACTATTCGCTTGTTGGTGATGGGTGGGACTAAGTTAAGGCCTTCCTTGGTGACTGAAGCCTGCTTTGGGGTTAGCACATTGTATGGCCCAGTCCCTTTGGAGCTGCCAGCATGATCTCTCTCTCCAGGCCAGTTGCCTGCACCTCATCTGTGGGGATGCCACCTCCAGAAACCACGGAGCGGATAGCAGCTGGCCCACTAGGGCCACAGGCCCTCAGGGCCTGCGCAGCAAGCACTACAGCTCCACGAAGTAACCCTGGGGCCATCACACCTGTGACAACCAGCGCCACTTCTGTTCATGTGTGTTAAGAGCTACAGTTCACACCCTGACCTGGCTGACTTGTCACCCTGCTCCAAGCCTGTTCTGCTTCCTTGCCCTCAGTGGATTTCTTCCCCGCCTTCCTCCCGCTTACCCTTGAGGACAGGATACCTGCAGGCCCGGCAGAGTCCCTCATCAGATAGGCTGGATTGAGTGCGGTCACCTGAGTGACCATCGCACAACCTCTGTCTCCCTTATACAGCTACAACGCAGTACTTAGGTTCAATGCTGACCTTCTGGGAAAATTTGATTTGGTTTTCATCCAATTTAATTTGCAACCGGAATCATGGAAAGAATTAAATTCGTGAACGACGGTACCCTGTTTTCCCATCTGTGTGCTACATAACACGCCTGTCCCCACCAGCCCCAGGGCAGTTGGCCATGATAATAACGAGAAAGAACCATGAAAGAGCAGAGAGAGGAACAAACCAAATCCTGGAAAAACACATAGTCCCTCCCTTCTCTCAGCCTATTCCTCCTCTCATTTCTTTTACCCTTTGTCTATAATCCGGTGACCCCCACTGGTTTGAGAAGCTGATTTCCAAGTTTGTGTCCTATTTCACTTCCATTTCCAGGCAGAAGCGAAAGTCTCTGCTGTTCCGTTAGTGCTGGGGCTTGCTGCGCTTCCCCAGCTCTAAGATTTGGCAGCAATCTCATGCTAGGTCTTCTCTAAAGAACTAATTTCAAGTGCAGGCAAAAGCGACGTATTTACTATTGAGGCAGCACTGTTTATAACAACCAGAGGGAGGAACAGTGTTGGCCTCACTTCGAGTCAGTGCACATTAGCCCAAGGCGCTGGCACAAGCCTATAACATTTAGGGAAAGGTAGAATCACACGGGAAGGATTAGATTACAGAGATATTTCTCTTTAGTTTTATAAATAACCAATCATGTGCTCACGTGAGCAGCACACATACTAAAATACATCAGGAAGGGTTGTGCTCCTCACTCCATCGTTGACCTCTTTATTGAGTCCCCCCATGAAAACTCTGTGAGGTATTTCTGCACAGTAGAGCACATTCCACAGGCTTTGGGCTCCCAAATGTGCTTCCATCCTCGAGACCATTTTGGGGGAGCAGCAGGGCTACATTAGGAGTTACAGCTGTTAAGGTGAAGGCACTTAAAGCTAATGAGCCCCAACTATTTTATCTTTAAATTGGGAAGGCTGTGGCCTGTCCTTCTTGCTCGCAGGGGTCACAGGGATGCCCCAGGCAGTAGTGGTTTTCTACAGAGTGACCTCAGCCCAGGCGGGGACTGGCAATACTTCAGGCTCAGAGGGGGAGAAGAGCACTGGTC